GCAGGAGACATGTACTTTCCAGAGACAGAGAAGGCACTCCTCCCCACCAGTTGGGGTACAGTCATGCTACAATCTTCTATTATTCTTTATCATGTCTGGATTTTGGGCACGCATGCACACCCACATGCTTGGCCTGTTTCTGAAGCTGCCAAGGCTGGGATTTGAACCATAGTCAGCCAGAGCCAGTCTAAACATCTGTGAGCATACCCAGCACACATGTGTGCCTGTTTTCCAAGCAGGCTGAGACTGGAGGTGGATCAGAGTGCGAGGACCTTGTCAGTGGGAACCTGTCCGTGTCTGTCTCTTTCTCTAGACTATGGGGCTGGGCCTAACTATCAAAACTTAATAGGTGTTTCCTGCTAAACAGAGCTTATTTTCAGTGATATTCCTTCTCAAATTCAGTTTTTTAAATTAAGCCTTTAATTTTGAGACAACTATAGATTCACAAGCAATTTTTAAAGAAATAATAAAATGACGGGACCAGCAGATAGCATAATAGTTAACATCTCTGGACTCCCACATGGCTGACCGTGGCTCAAGTCCCAAAATCGGAAGCTTGGAATTCATGCCAGGCACATGTGCGTGTGTGCCCAAAATCCTGAGAGGAGAATGAAAGAGAAGGGACTGCAGCGTGGCTAACCTCCAGGGGGGGTGATTTCTTGCTTCCTGTCTGTCTGTCTCTCCAGCAAGCGCATGCACTCTATATCAAAAATCTCTCCCTGCCTTCCTCCCAAAAGTATGATCCCTGAATCCTTTACTCAGTTTTACACATATTAACACCTTGAAAAACCACAGTACAGTATCACTGCCAGGATATTGGCATTGACACAATTAAGATATATAGCAAAGGCCAGCCTTAATAAAACAGTGGCTAAGTGCTGTGCATAGAAAGCTGTATCCCACATGACTACCTGTGTTTTGAATCCTTGCCCAGCACTTGGAACGAGTTAGCTTGGGGACCAATAGATGGCATAACGATTATGTCACTAGACTCCTACATTGCCAACTAAGGCTCAAGTCCTGGATCCAGTGGCTTGAAACTCACGCCAGGCATGGATGGGTACATGCATGCTCAAGATCCAAATAGAATGGAGAGAAGGGATTTCAGCATGGCCATCCCCCCTGGGTGATTTCTCACCTTCTGTCTCTCTGTTTCTCTCTGTCTCTCCAACAAGCACATATGCCCTATAACAAAAATCTCTCTTAAAAAAAAAAAAAAGGGAAAGAAAACATTAGCTTGTATATGAATGCCCAAAATCCTGACAAGATGAACAGGGTAGAGAAAAGAGGATTGTGACATTACTACATCCCATCAGGGAGTGCTTTCTTTTTCACATGCCCCGTTGTAATAAAAAACAATGAAGAAAATATACAAAACATTTCTATCACAGGATCCCTCATGTCACCCTTCTATAGCCATACTTTTTTTTTTTTTAAGAGGTTTTTTTTTGCTATAGGGCGCATGCGCTCGTCAGAAAGACAGAGAGAGACAAAGAGACACAAAGCGAGAAATCACCCTCCAGTGGGGATGGCCACACTGCAGTCCCTTCTCCATTCTTCTCTCGGGATCTTGGGCACGCATGCATATGCATCCAGCATGAGTTTAAGCCAGTGGGTGCAGGACTCGAACTGCAGTCGACTACATGGCAGTTCAGTGACATAGCTATTACACTAACTGCTGGTCCCTAGCCATACTTTCTTTTCACTCCCTCCACAGTCCCTGGAAAATTTGGGGCCAGGTGGTGGCACAGTGGCAATGCAACTAGACCCCCACGTGGGAAAGATTGTGAGTTCACATCCCAGAATCTCCCTGAGCACACATGTGCCTGTGATCCAGGCTTGCTGAGACTGGAGGTAAATCAGAGAATGAGATCCCTGTTTCGGTGAATCTGCCTCTGTGTGTATGTGTCTTTCATAAAAATGAAGTAAAAGTAAACTTAATAATAATGCATTGGGCCAGCAGGTAGCATGATGGTTGAGGTGCTACATCCCACAGGGCCAACTCCATGGTTCAAGTCCCAGACCTAACAGTTTGAGAATCATGCCAGGCACATGTGCATACATGTTCAAAATACCAAGAGCAAAAGGGATTGTGACATGGCCATCCTTCCTGGGAGGTGGGGGGATGACTTCTCACTCTTCCCCTTTCTCTGTCTCTTATCTCTAGTGAGCTCACATGCCCTATGGCAAAAAACTAAAAAATAATAATAGTGTTGTATTTATAGAATTATAAAATATATAACCTTTTGTTATTGATTTTTTTAATGCAGAATTATTCACTAAAGATTCACGCAGGTTGTTGTATCAATAAGTTGTATCTTTTTCAGTGCTCATGGATATTCCATAATCTAGATGTTCTTCAGTTTAACACTCCCAAATAATAATGTGATTGAATGTATAAAATAAAATGAAATTAAAAAAAATAAAAGGAAAAAAATTAAATAAATAAAAGAAGGTTTTGGCTTTTTTTTTTTTTTTTTTTTTTTTGCTATAGGGCACATAGGCTTACCAGAGAGAAAGTGAGAAATAGCCCCTGGGGGTGGGGAGAGGCTACGCCACAGTCTCTTCTCTGTTCTCCTCTCAGGATTTTGGGCACGCACACACACAAGTCTAGTGTGAGGTTAAAGCCACCAGATCCAGAACTTGAACTGCAGTTGCCCATGTGGGAGTTTAGCAATGTAACCATTATGCCATCTGCTGGTCCCACCAGCTTTTAACTATTATAAATAAACCTGCTAATAAACTCATTCTTGTTCAGGGATTGTGTGTGAACAAAGGTTTTAATTCTCTGAAATAAATGTCCACAGGTATAGTCACCAGGTAGTATGATAGTTGTTTATTTAATATTTTAGGAAGTTGCAAATATTCTCTGGAGTGGTCAGATCACATTATATTCCCCACAGCAGTGTATGCATGATCTGGTTGCTATAGGGCGCATGCGCTTGTCAGAAAGACAGAGAGACAAAAAGCAAGAAGTCACCCCCCAGTGGGGATGGTCATTCCACAATCCCTTCTCCTCCATTCTCCTCTCAGGATCTTGGGTACACACGCATACGTGCCTGGCATGAGTTTACTCCACAGGGTCCGGGACTCAAACTGCGGTCGACTACATGGGAGTCCAGCGACATAGCCATTACACCATCTGTGGTCTCATGCTGATTACATGGGAGTCCAGCGACATAGCCATTACTCCATCTGCTGGTCCCATGTTTTTCATTTTTATTTTCTGTGAAGTATACAGTGATAACTCATTGTAGTTTTTAATTTGCATTTCCTGAATTACTAATATTAAATAGTTTTTCATGTGTTTCATTCCCATCTATATATCTTCCTTGGTAAAATGTCTGTTCATGTGTTTTTACACATTTTCTGTTTCAGTATTTTTCATACTGTTGATTTTGACTATACTTTTGATATAGTCTAAACCATATGGTTTATAAATATTTTCTTTAATTTTGTAGCTTGTCATTTCATTCTCTTAATGAGTAAAATTAAATTATTTTCATTTTCTTAAAGAATTATTTTTTTTCCATTCCTTTTTTTTGAAGAGGTTTTTTGTTGTTGTTATAGGGCGTGTGCACTCACTCGCCAAACAGAGAGAGACATAGAGACAGAAAGCGAGAAATCACCCCCCAGGGGGGATGGCCATGCCACAATCCCTTCTCCATTCTCCTCTCGGGATCTTGGGCGCACATGCGCCCAGTGTGAGTTTTAAGCCATCAGGTCCGGGACGCGAACTACAGTGAACTACATGGGAGTCCAGCGACATAGCCATTACGCTAACTGCTGGTGCCCAATAATTATTTTATTTAACTTTATTTATTTATTTTAATTTGACCAGAGAGAGACAGAGAGAAGGAAAGTGAGAAAACAAACCACCAGGTCTGGGACTCCAACTGCTGTCAGCCATGTGGGAGTCCAGCACCTTTAACTACCATGCTACCTGCCAGCCCTGAGTGAAATTAAATTTTAATGTGAGTAGTTCTGCATTTGATTCCAAAATAAAATAGAATTCTATCCAGTGAGGTTTTTTTTGTTTGTTTTGTTTTGTTTTTGCCATAGGGCATGTGTGCTTGCTGGAAAAAGATAAAAAGTGAGAAAATCACCCACCACTGTAATGGTCACACTGTAGTCTCTTCTCCTCCAGTCTCCTCTTGGGATTTTGGTCACAATGCACATGTACTAAACATGATTTTTTTTTTAGAATTTAAAATTTTATTTATTTTTTAATTTGCTATAGGGCACACATACTCACCAGAGAGGGAAAGTGAGAAAGCAAACTGTCAGGTCCATGCCTCAAACCATAGTCAGACATTTGGGAATCCAGCACCGTAACCACACCACCTGCTAGTCCCTGCCCAGTATGTATAACTTTCAAGCTGCCAGGTCTGGGACTTGAACCATCGCTGGCCACATGAGAATCTAATGCTTTAAACACTACACCATATGCTGATACCTCTATGAGTTTTTTAAGCACAGCACCCTCTAATTGTCTTGTTGCGAATGACAAAAACAAAATAGGGAAAGGGGTATATCAAAGTCAACAAGAGAAAAAGTTTCCTGTACTTTTTCGTTTTGTTTTTTAAATAATTATGATTTAATTTTATTTCTTATTACTTTTATTTTTAATTTTACCAGAGG